TCAGCTCCAGGCTCGAGACTGTCCTTTGTCCCTCTGCCGATGACTGCATAAAAGAAATACGCCCACCCTTGCATTGCGGCGTTTTGACATGCGGTCGCACACACACATATATATATGCCACATGAATCAGAATTGTATCGTATGATAACGCTATTATATTAATCTTGATTTGAGGCTTTCGTGACTGCAGGAATTCATACTCTTTGGTTCTTTCGGTAAAGTCACGTAGGTAGAAAATAAAAATGGAAATGTCGTGATCTATTATTTTTATTTTCTTTTTTCTTTCTGCAGTACGTGACTTTACCGAAAGAACCAAAGAGTATGCTATTATATGATTTGCAGAAAGAAGATAAAACTCACAAATCACTCAATTTGGAATATGCATGGCAATCAACGCCCCCTACTGCAAAACCAAATAAACTTGGCAAAGACCCGGTGAGACTTTCCTGGGTGAATAATCGCAATCATTTCTTCTAGATTTGAAGTTTTCGTGACTGCAAGAGTCCATACTCTTTGGTTTTTTCGGTAAAGTCACGTAGGTAAAAAAAATAAAATAAATTAAATCACGACGTTTCGGAGGCAACAAAAGCTTCGGTTTTCGGAAGCTTGTGTTGCCTCCGAAACGTCGTGATTTAATTTATTTTCTTTTTTTACCTACGTGACTTTACCGAAAAAAACAAAGAGTAATCGCAAACACTGCGGGCACCGCTGATTTCACGGCCAATGTCACACGGGGGCTATCGAATGGCTTCGTAACCTCGGTATACAAATACTGTCACCACCACAGTCTCCATCCAGGTGTGTTCAATCCTGTCTCTATTGTGTCTTCACAACACCACTACACGATCTTGCCAACAGCAACGTGTAACTGTGCTCTTTACCCAACGCTGTAATCCCTTGTGCAGATCACCAGATGGCTTTTCAGACCTACCGGCCCTCTTCATAGATTTTCCCCAACACTCAAATGATTTTTGAATTAATCATTCATTCCCCATGACTCCCAGTCAGTCCTCTTCCGATTTGTCTTTTCGTTACTTTCTGTAAGAAATCTGAGCAGAGCTTCTTAGCGGAATGGACTGTACCATCCTTGCAAATGGTTTTGAATATTACAAAAGATATATATAATCATAGAGACTCCGTTACTCGGCAACAGAAAATGAGAAAACAGTCATTGCCGCACTCTTCTCACAATCCTGTACTCGGAACACAAAGTATTTTTTTTATCTAATAAAATGCCAATATAATATCTTTCGAGGGTTTTTTTTATATTCTCTAAGATTTAATGAATAATCCGGCGAAAGTATTTCTATACATAGGAGCACAAATTGAAAAGAGCTACCTTAAATGAACCGTGTCAATCTTCTGTACTCATGACTCCCGCCTCTACGGTCTCGCTATATCTATTCGACGTCTTGCGAACTTCTCCCACCGTTTCAACAGCAACGGCCCGTAGCAGCAACTGACAACAACAGACTTGTTATTGTTGGTGCGGACAGGAGCCCAGCCAGCAGCCAGCAGCCAGCAAGAAAACTCGAGACAGATTATTATTTTAAAGTGTATATGTATTTTTTTAATTAATGCCTGGGTTTGTAAGAGATTGGGTAATTGCATCAGTTTGCACTGAATGAAATGCTTTCGTCATCTTTTACAAAACCTAGGCGAAAATTGTTTTTTTATATTCATTTTTGTCTATATTGATCGACCTTACTTGTGAGAAAATCTCAATATGCAACATGCTCGTGCGGTTATTTGACCTCAAAGTTGCCTATCATTTTATTCCCTATGATTTTCTTCAAAAATCTACAAACGCGATATGAGGCTAATAATGCGTTTGCATTTTTAAAAAAATCTGTTTAGTCTCGCCGTTCGAACAGAAGTGGTATTGAGCCACCATTCCACAACCCAGGGATTGCATTTATCTCTACACACTTAGCAACAGCAGAACAAAAATACTGGGCCCGAGTGAATAGCGGCACTGTGCTGTCAAGACTGGCGGAACGTTAACTCGTAAAAATGCGTTACTTCATCTTAACATTTGAGAAGGGAGATAAGACTTACGCGGTGGTGTGGCAAGGACAGAGCCGGCTTGTGTGCCTAGGGACGATGGGGGGGGGGGTGATGTCATGGGTTCATGGAGGGGTTGATAGCGGGGTTAATGGGAGGTTGATGGAGAGGGAGGGCGCGGGTGCAAGAGGCTCTATCCCCCGCGGCGCTACCAGCGTCGGCCACGAAATCGCTTAGCCGTGAAATGGGCAACGCGGGGATTGCTCCGCAATCAGGCGCGGGCTGGAGGTCCGGGCGCACGTGACGACAGCAAGGGCTACTCTGTGTTTTATATTTGTAGTCGGTGTCAAAATGATTTTCTGCTCAAACGAGCGTTGAGGCGGTGCACACATCCCGTTCGACAGCCCCGAGTCGGTGGTGGAAGTTTCCCATTCCGATAAAGGCGCGGGGGGGGGGGAGTCTATCGATAAGACGGCCACAAATGACATCCCAACAAAGTGGAATTCATTGTATTGACCCCAGAGGGATGATGGGAAAGGTCAACCCCTATCAATGAACTCGTGAACTTAAAGAGCACGAGCCACCTGGCCACATTCTGCACGCGGCAGCTTAATTACCCCGCACTGCGCATATTTGTGCATGATCAGTGCTGGCCATTGTCAATCCACTGCTGGATGGAGGCCACCCCAAGCTGCCACCATCTCTCACGATCCGAGGTGCAGTGTTATAATTGCTGTACAGTATGTGCATACACTTCTCAAAATCCCTGCATAATGCACGGTCGTCACCTGCAGCATAACCATGGTATCGCTCGGATGATGAATCGGCAGGGGTCCTAGTTGTGATGCAAGTTCACTCCCTGGCATGGTCAACTTGGTTCATCGTGCAACTCATCATAATCGGCCAATGATCGAGTCACTGCTGGCTGACGGCCTCCCTAAGCCTTTGCCATATCTTGCGGTCTGGCAATGCGACAATTCATCTCGGACCGGCACACGAGCCGATTTGATTACATTGAACTTCTTTCGCACCGTACGAAGCCGACCGTGCTCATCGGAGGTGCGGGGGAAGAACAAAATAAACACAAAAACAGTTTTAAAGAGATTAGTTTTCAATATCAATTTAAAAGTGGTTTACTAATAATAATTAATCCACCTAAGTGGTAGAAACTCGTAGCTACTCTGGGGCATGTTCCCTCCCTTGCTTTCTCCTTATAGTCATCATCCCTCCGACATTCATAAACTATACATTCCCTCTGGATAAGGATGCCCCACTTGTGGTTGAAGATCACAAAACTGTCGTCCTGTGATGTGGGCCTTGTTCCCCACGCAAGAATGTGGAATGTTCACCGCCGACTTATCAAGGGCTGGGCACGGCCAGCTCTGAGCTCACCCGGCTGTGTCTCTTGGCCATCGGCTCACAGTCTCGCAGGCCTCGCACCCCGCTTCCCAGTTGGGTTGCGACACCATTTGGTTGCCACGCCAGTCCCTCTGCCAGCCACACGCAAACTGGACGAGCGAGCGTTGAGTGCTCCCAGCTCGGGTTGCCACTGCCACCTGGTTTTGGTTTTCCTCGGATCATTCTCTTACTATTGATGGGGTCAAATATCTCCGAAGGTAACACCACTGTTGTTGCCCCCAAAAGAGGTCCTCTTGTTGTAGTACATAAAGGACACCGCGTATTTCATTCACTGCTGGATGAAGGCCTCTCAGTGCCACGTCGGCTTTGCGGGTTAATTGACCATACTTCAGAACGCTGGTCAGTGCGGGTCGATAAAGGACGGGGAGGGGTGCCCAGGACCGGTTCAGGTGCCACTCGCTGCTGATGTTGGCCGTGGCTGCGGATTCACGCTCAGCACTCCGCCACGGCTCATCGACGTAACCAACCACAAACATCCTTAAAGCATATTCTTTGGTTCTGTCGGTAGTCACGTAAGTAGAAAATAAAATAAATCACGACGTTTCGGGTGCAACACAAGCGTCCATCAGACCGTAAGATATGGCAACGGCAACAACAGGTGATGATGGACGCTTGTGTTGCGCCCGAAACGTCGTGATTTATTTTATTTTCTACCTACGTGACTTTACCGAAAGAACCAAAGAGTATGGATTCCTGCAGTCACGAAAGCTTCAAATCAAGATTGATCATTCTCTTGTTGAGGTAGCTGTCGTATGAAATAAATTAGTCACGCCCGGTACATGAGCAGTCTTGTTTTTGTCATTTGCATCATGAAACACAACTCAAGACAACTCACTCATACGCAGTCTTGCCTCCTCTTGGGGTAAAACAGGTGCAGAGGTCATCATGGCCACACATGGAATATTTCTACGGGATTTTCCAAAGCTTTTCACCAACATAAATCCCAGTGCTGCACCGTTCAGATAACACAAATATATATAAAGAACACAGAACAACACTTGTTTGTCCTTAATTTATTTTAATACCCAACGCGCTGCGTGATGAGCTGGAAGAGTTACTCATACACGGAAGATTCTCGACCTCGGACCGACGCTCGATTTGTTCGTTAACGCAAGAGACCCGAACGCGGCGCCAATTTATTACCTCCCCCACCCCATCCCATATCGCTCGCACTTTGTGAATGTCCGGACAATTTGCAAGTTCTCCGATCGTATCGCATCGTCCTACCCCATCGTGTAGAACAGTTCAATAGCGAAATGACGAGAACAATTCTGCTGCGATATCAACAGGCGTGAATAAATAAATGAGAATATCCATACGCCGACAGCTTTGACAATTTGTGTAAAAAGTAATCCACGGGTGGTGTTGGGGTTTCCATATTCAGAAGGAATAAACCCACATCGCGCCAAACTTAACAACAAGAGGCAACAAATTGTGGCAATCGTGACCACAGAACGACGCAGCGTTGGGGGGCAGCTCCAAGCCCGCTTGGCACTCGCTTGTCCCGGCACAGGGTCGCCGGCAAACGCGCCGAAGCCGGTATTTCATCGCATAAATAATTTTTTTGTAAAAAAAAAAATGCGTATTCTCTTATGCCTTTAATTTAATACACCTTAAAGGCCCTTGTGAGAACCAAGCGACATTTGGTACATTTACATATATTACAGAACAGCATTGAAGTGTTTGCTCGATCGCGAATAAAGTATGCGCAGTGTCATTCCGTCGGTACTGTTAGTTGCTGGGCGGGTATCCCTCCCGCAAGCGACCATCAACGGGGGGACGCTTAAACGCACCGTCGCCGGATCTCGCGCCGCGTGCACGCGGCACGCGTGTGGCGGTTAGCCGCACGGCGAACACAGCCCGACGAGCCACAGTCCAGTGCACTGACTACAGGCGGCAGCGGCTGTCCCCCCACCACATTGGGGGGCTCAGCCACCGCCAGTGCCCATTCACATTTTAGCACGCGGCGCGCGCCGACAACCGGGACGCCGGCGGCGGCTCGGGCCTCAGGCCTCTTGGCCATTCCCCCACCACGACCACCACCGTGGCCCACCTCTTGTGTCATCCCATCAGCTGCAGCTAGGCTTGTCATGTGTCTGTGGTACGAACAAAATGAAGGACATATTCATGGGAAGAAGAATATCTCGCAACACCCTAAGAGAGAAAACTACATGTCAGTGAATTGTCTTGAGTTGTGTATTATTATGCAACTGACAAAAACTAAAAAAAAATCGAAAACAAGACTTCTAATGTCCCGGGATGACTAACGACAGCTACCTCAGACAAGAGAATGATCCGAAGAAAAAGAAAACAGGTGGCAACCCTAGCTGGGGCATCCAGCGCTTGCTCATCCAGCGAGCGCGTGGGCTAGGAGAGAACTGGCATGGTAACCAAATGGTGGGCAACAAAACAGGAAAAGAGGTGCGAGGCCTGAGAGACTGCGAGCCGATGGCGAAGAGACACAGCCGGTGAGCTCTCCTCGTCACATTCAAGGCTCACTGCAGATGCCTTCGCGTCAGTGAAAGTAGCCCATTGCACGTAACATTAGACAAGTTATGCTCGAAAGTGGTCACACTCCCCATATGTCGGTATAGTAGTACTACTCCGCGGAACCCATTTACCGACTTGCGTAAAAACCGTGGTCGTCGAACTTTCATCGTAAGGTCACTCCCCACCCCCTCCGCCCCCCCCCCGTGACCCTCACTGCCTCCGAGACGACGTCACAGCGCCGACTGCTCTACTCCGCGAGGCTCGAGCACCTTTTTTTGGAAGAAAACGATACTCAAGGACGACATTCGTACGTCCGCAATAAAAAAAAAAGAACGCGTAAGTATGGCAAACTTGTGGCAAGCGGCAGCCTGCACAAGGTAACCATGTGCAATCAGTTTTAAATGCACCACGAAACGTCATTTCTTATTGCATTCATGATCAATTTTTTGTTTTACACATTTACACATATCCAATCCCGCATCCTCAAGAAAATAAAAACCCTTGTGCATGTTAAACGAGACATCATACGCCCATGTGTGTATTTGGTTGTGCAGATAAAGCCCTTTAAATAGGAGTTTCGTACTGATATTTTAATTTGCTCCCGAAGGTCATTAGCGCAGCCAAAGCTGAGATGAAGTATTTCTGCGATGTGATGCATAGCACCCTTTTTACGCAGACAGTAACAGCTGTGGTAGACATAATGAGGCCACGTGACATAATTTCCCTTGTGCAGCGTCTGTCTCGTGAATGTCTGTTGAGGGAATGAGAATGTTTCATCTCCAAGATCTCTATCCAACACAAACTGTAGTTCCTATATATGTACACACGCATACATAAATCAAATCTTGAACAAAGAGTCGGCTTTTCAAAGGTGACCTGGGAAGCATTTTGCTTTCTCCCCATTAAAGCGAATGCTGACAGACGCAATACCCGTCAAGCAGACTTGCGCATCCATTTGGCAGTTATCTTTGCAAATTACCGAGCCCTGCCTCATCCATACGAACTGCTTTTGACTCGCGCGGATGAGTCCCAACATCCGCCCTCCTTGCAAAAACACCACGTGCGTTTAAGAAGGTTACGACTGTCCAAGGAACTGCCTTTCGAGCTCGTAAAACATGGGGTGGTCCTTCCGTAAGGCGTTGAGGCGCACCGACAGCGGTACGGTGCCGTCCTTGCTCTGCCCGTCAACGTCCATGTCCAGGAGGGTGGCGGCGATCTCCGCGGGGGGGCGGCGGGGCTGGGGCTGTGGCGGCGGCTGTGGTGGCGGCGGTGGCGGCGGCTCTCTCCGCTCTTCCGCGTCGCTCGCGGCGGGCCACTTGGCGCCCAGCGGCTCCGGCCAGGGGTTGGTGGGCGTGTCGGAGCCGGAGCTCTGGCCGGACGCCGGGTCCAACATTGTCGTCGCCGAGGAGACGACGCGCCAGGGGTCATGGTGAGCGAGCGCCGGCGAGGGGCGAGGCCTGGCGGTGAGTGCCAGCGTGCGGGGCCGCTGCGGGGACGAAGGGTGTTCCGCCGGCGGCGGAGGGCTCAGTATCAGCACCGTCGCCGGTTCTGTTGAAGGTTGGGAGACATTCATGAACGTCGTTGTTAGTCACGATCGATCCACTGCTGGATGAAGGCCTCTCTCTCTCTCTCTCCCAAGCTCTCTCGTCGTCAGCGGAGATAACAGATTATAGTGAAGAGAGATTGCACGCAGGTTAAAACCAATCTCCAATCATCCAAGATGTGGTATGTGCTGTCATGATGGACAGTGGGTAACAGAATAAAATAATCAATAGACCAGGCTCCATTTCACAACACTTTAGTCCATGGTAATGAAAGAAATGGCCAACATTCGCAGAGAAAACCTGTATGCTGATAGACTAAAACGTTATTATGCTATCAGTGCTCTGGTGACGTAACTGTGTTGACGTGAGTTAAAAACATGTGGCACTTAGACAATTTTAAGTCTATTTTGTCACTAAAGCAGCACCAAATTGATTATCGGACAGGCCAGAACTCACGGGCCAGCTAAGTACCTACAAGATAAAAGCCGTTCGATGTTTTGGTCGCATCTTCCTATTTTAAGGGATCGTAAAATAACTCTTACCTGGTAGAGCTTGGTAGGAGATGCACACGCCGTTTGACACCGGTTGCTCGAGCGACACGTCCGTGATGGTGCTGTCAGACGCATTCCGCTGGTGGCCTTTGACCGCCGGCTCAAAGTGCAGGTTGGCGCACAGCGGGTCGGCCGCGGAGCCGGGGGTGACCTGCGACGACACCGGTGACCCCTCCGGCCAGTGGGGCCAGTGCGTTGTGTCCTCGCTGTCCGAGCGCAGCAAGGAGCGCGTCGAGTTGCATATGGAGAGTGACGACGAGGGCGACCCCTGCGGACCGTTGACCCCACCGCCGCCTTCCCGTGGCGACTTCCTCCACTGCACGGACATTCCCGCGCTGCGACGGAACAGCCCCGCGCGCTGGAAAAACGCCGCTCGCTTGCGCTCTTGCTGCTGCCGCCCCCCCCCCTCGCTGGTGCTGCTGGGAGGTGGGCGGGATGCGCCCGGCGTGCCGCACGTCTTCGCCGAGGGCCACCACCGACAGCACCGCGGCACAACCGAACAGCGCCATTCCGCTGCGGTGCTCCCTGCAAGGGACGAGGCCGCAGACATTCGCGTGGTCAGTGGAGGCCAAGTGACCGGCTGCGGAAACTCAAACCCACTTGCAACCAACCGTCAAACAATTCGGAAATGCGATTGCATTTATGAGAGACACGAGGGCGCTCACTTGTCTTTGGAGACCTGGTGGACCGGGGGCAGGACGTCGGGTGGGGTGTGCCGTGGCGTGTGCCGCGGGGTGTGCCGCGGGGTGTGCTGCGGGGTGCCGTGCGGGGTGGCACTGCCCGAGGAATCGCACGTGGCCCCGGGAACGCCGTCGTCGTCGTCTGCGGTTGCGGCGGCGACCGCGGTTTTCTCGAGGTCGTCATCACTCGTGGACTCATCGCTCGTGCCGCCGTGGCGCGAGGAGAGGTTGAGGCAGGAGAGGTTCGGGCGCCGGATGATCTGCTTTGTCCTCCTGACGCTCCGATCACCTGCCGGAGAAATGTAAGCTCAAATGTAACAATAACAATAGCACGTGCAACGCTACGACTAGGTGGTGATGATGGTAGTGGCAGCGGTGATTGCGATAATGTTGGTAGCAGTTGTGGTGAGCACAGTGATCATGCCATGTGTAAAGATGGAAATAATAACGCCCTTTCACCCAGGAAAGCCTCACTGAGTCTCAATCCACATGAAGCACGCAAGTATACAAGGAATAACACAAATGCATCAACATAGTTCAACAACCTACTTGCAGTACTGCCTCCTAAAGACCACCGCACAGCCCTGCAGATGTGTGTCATATGCACGTGATGTTGTCCGCGAGATTCAAACAACCCCGTCGCCAAAGCGTCGGTCCAGGAACTCGTGCGCTAACGCATCAGTTTTTGTACGCACTCGTTACTTACAGCTATCCAGCTCCCACCCAGAATCCATGTGTAAAGAGGACTTCGACGCACTTGTCTTGAGATGGTTTCATTATTAACGAACCCGCACAAAGCCAGGGAAACCTGTACTCCCAACTGTGTCAAACACAACTACACTTGCTTTCGTGGCTAAAGAGCACCCTCTGCAGGGATCGGTAAGGGACATCCATTGGTGTGAAACACTTGGAGGGGTGGGGGGGGGGGTGCTGCCATCCATGCGTCTCGTGCAAAGGTTGGAAACCGATTTTTTTAAATTAACATCTGTGAAGTCACGTGAGCAATGCGCTGTGACATTGCACCGTGCCGCATGGCGCAACGTAGATCAGTGTCCAATCTAAACACGTGTGCCTGGATAGTGTTGGGCTGGGCGTGCACAGACATGTTTTCATTGGGCTTGCCGGGTTACATGGTCTGAAGTATTGGGTAAGTGCAACGAAAATCCATCGTCGTACTGTACTTCTACATTTCGATTTAAAGCTTTCGTGACTGCAGGGATTCATCTTCTTCACAACATTTATACGCTGTCTTTCCGCTGTCTTTCCGACAGACCTGTTCTTCACCTGAGGACGGCTGCTTGCGTTGTGGCCGAAACGCCGTGAAAATTGTATTTTATTATGTTTTATTTTTATTATTTCCCTTCTATGTGACTTTACCGAAAGAACCAAGAAGATGTACTTCTACATTTACGCTCCCCGCCTTCATCAACCCGCACTGATCAGCGTGGAAAAACACGACCAAAAAAGCACGACCTCGCGCAGGCGTGAGGTGGCAAACTCATCCAGAAGTGGACTGACGAAAGGGCTCTACATGCAAGTGTATAATGATGGGGGCTTCGTAGTGGGAACTCACCCGTTTCACGAGAGCCGCTGGGGGTTGCGGGCGAAGATTGGACTCCTCGCAGCAGCTGCCGGGGATTTCGGAGTTCTCCTGGGCTCACCTTGATCCCATTCGCCACAGGCTTGAGCCTGCTGAAACGGCGATGGCACAGGTCGCGGACGCACACGGTTCAACATTACACAAGTGGCATCACAGGTGGCATAATCCTCTGCAGTATAATGTGCCAGGGCGTTAGGCCGAACCTGTCATCACTTTCGCTCTCCTCCGTCTGTAGCACCCCATCAGGAGATTCTCTCCCAATCTCGTCTATCCTGCTTGGGGAACAAAACATTTAAAAAGATTCAACGTTGAACAAATCGGAAAACACGATGTAACACGATTTTTGTCCCTGGGTAGTAAGTGTTATTTCTTTAATTGCTTATGCCTCAAAAGTATAGAAAATGGCTATTTATTCCCCACAAACTTTGCTTTTGTGACCAGGACTTTGTGTGAAGGAATGACACAAATGCACACCACGTTTTCTCATTGAAAATATGTAAATTGTGATCTGGTCACAAAAGCAAAGTTTGTGGGGCATAATAGCCATTTTCTGTACTTTTGAGGCATAAGCAATCAGGAAATAATCTTTACTACCCAGGAACAAAACATTTATTTTGTTACACAGTGAAATCATCTGTTGTGGATGGTTTAACAACGGTCACACTATCCAGCTAGTAATTTTTATTATTAAATACTGTTCCCCAATTATATCCTGATTGCGCTGTTGACGTCACATCACGAGACAGAGAACACAATTAAATCTCTCAATGCAACCCATGGGGTTAGAGAGACCTGCCTCGAGAAGCAAAGATCAGAGAGCTAGATCCGAGATCCCTTCGAGTGACATCTCTTCCATACAAGTAGGGCACAGCCTATTTTCCAATCCTCTCTGTCGCGTGACATCGAAACTGATATTTTTTAATCTATTATTTGGTGCACACGCACGCATAAACAATAAAGAACGCAACACGTGCATCAAAAACGCTGCCACAAAAGGTAAAACCACAAGCCTCGGGACAATGGGCCTTCCCCCACCGCACACATATTGTGGGTAAGAGCCATTCGCCCAAGGTGTCGCCTGTCATATCTTTTTAAATCCTTTATATTAAGTTCACTTGCTTGCTTGCGCACTTACGACCGTGCAAATCTTTCGGTCGTTTTTTAACCCACTTCCCGTGATCCAATTGAGCTGACATTTTGCACACAGACTCGTTGTGCGTGACAATTTATTTTCGTTAAAAAAATGTTCCAAAATTTTCCACTTTTTAGGAAAATGTTTTTTTCATATTTAATTTAAAATACCAATGTGATAAAAATGAAACTCTTACTCAAGAAAAACAGAAATGAATAATAAAATAAAACCGATGCCACGCATATAAAGGATTTATAGTGAAAATCTTTGTTTTTACGGGTTCATTTTTCTTTTTGCAAGCCTGGCGATAGTGGGGCACGCCGGTAATCCAGCACTGTGGAGGCGAGAGTTGGTGATCGTATAAATGTTGTGAAACTCCCTTCTCGTGGACGTTGAGGATGTACCATGCCCTAGCTCGTCAGGAGAAGGCGGTACACAGCTGGAATTTATAAAAATGAAGTGCAAAACCAATTTGAATGAGGTTTGTTTGTGTGTGTGCAGTGACTGAAGACTGGACTAAGGCCGTCAACTCACTAACGCATGAGAACTTGAACCCAGGATCTTAGTGGTACCAGCTCAGCACTGACCTCTGAGCCATTTGGCTACCTCATCAGGTCATCAATCCTGCGAGTGCAAACACAACTGTGGTTTCAAAATGTGACCCTCCTAACACATTCAGGGCTCCCCATTGCTTGTGACGCTGCTGGAGCACCGGTGGCAAGGGAGAGAGTGGGAGGCTCACGCACCTGTCCTCCAGGCTGCTCCTCTCCCTCTGAGGCCCAGAGACGCCTCCCCTCCCTCGCCCCTTCTTGTCCCCGTTCCTGCGATCGTCATCCTTTCTCGGCGAGCCCGCGCTGCGGCCCCACAGCCTCGTACCGCTCGATCCGGCCACTGCAGCCAGACCGTCATCGCAACCGATGAGGGCACCCACAGAGGGAACAATCTCAGAATCAGAATCTGTATTCATCCTGGAGAAATCCGATGAGCTATGAAGCTCTTTTTCCACAGATGTCCGTTAGGGGCAGGTCAGAAAGTTACGACAACAATGTATAAAATAAAGATGGGAGTGCTAAGTGTGGGAAAGGTAAGAAAATCACGAAAAATAATACGTAAAATAGATAAAGTATAGAAGTTCAAATTGCATAAGTACACCAATTCCCACATGAGGGCAAGGCAACAAAACAACAAAAATCGTCGCAGAACACACCAAGACAACACACAGTACCTCAATAAAATTGCACGTAAAAAATCTTACGCATATATGCAAGTGTGTGTGTGTGCGCGTGTGGGTGCAACGTGCGTGCGAGACCCACGGTGGATGGCGCGCAGGCGGGGGATGAGTGCGGGGCTGCCGGGCGGGGTATCGACGCTTATCCTGCGGTCGGGGGACGCCTGCACCGTGATCTTGTGCTGGAAGTCTGGAGAACGAAGTGGCGCCGATTTAAAAAAACGAATCAGAACCACGAATGCAAAAACAACACAATTATACACTATTGTAATTTTACCAGTTAAGACCCACTGAGCTCTACAGCTTTTTCAAAAGTGACCTGGGCACAAATGATAGCTCAACTAAGTGGCTTATCGTGTGGAGATTTATAGCAACCAAATAAATCCACGCGACCACGGAGAGAACATGCAAATTCCAAATATACAGGCATCAGAGTTGGGATTGAACCCACGACCTTCTTTAGACCAGGCGAGGTAGTTAACATCTCTCCACCGTGGCGCACAAGAAGAGCATCATATATGGGCATTTCCGTGAACCCACGTTGATAATTCTGATAATTGAAAGCCCTATGTCAATCCACTCGTGGGCGAAGGTGTCCCTAAGCCGGGTCGGTTGTGGGAGTTGTTTGATCGTACTTCACCTCGCTGGTCAGTGACATTCGATGTCGGGGGGGGCGGGGGGGGCCAGGACAGGTTCAGATATCACGTGTCACCGATGTGAGCCTTGGCCAGGAATGGAACTCAGCTGGCCAGGTTCATGCTGCAGTGCACTAACTACCGTGCCAACGCTGCACGCCGCCACCACAACATTCTGCAGTGAGAATTATTGTCAAGTTTCATTTAATTTCGATCGTACAGATTTGAAGTTTTCGTGACCGCAAGGAATCATACTTTTTGGGTTTTTTGGTAAAGTTACCTACGTGACTTGACCGAAAAAACAAAAAAGTTTCGATCATACAGTCAATCATTTCATTTTGTCAAATCCATTAACATATACTCTTCCTTGATTAGAAGCTTTCGTGACCGCAGGATTTCATACTCTGAGGTTCTTTCGGGAAAGTCACGTAGATAGGAAAATAAATAAATAAATAATATTTCACGACATTTCGATCGCAACAACAAGCGATCGTCCACAGGTGAAGAGAGAAACATGCCTCTGTGACGAGGCATTATACAGAGGGGCATGGGGGGAGGCCGTAAAGGGGCGAGAGGGTGGGGTTGGAATTCAAAATTTAGCAATCAACCAGGTAAAGTGTTAACTGTTGTGTTAGCCGACTCTCTGAGTTGCATTACATTTCAAAATTTTGTTAAGTTTGATATCTAAGATTCCTTGTCACATTTCTTTTCTCTCTCTCACCCAAGCCCTCTTTTTATCCCCACCCTCTCGCCCCTTTAAGGCCTCCCCTCCCCCCATGCCCCTCTATATAATGCCTCATCACAGAGGCATGTTTCTCTCTTTCACCTGTGGACGATCGCTTGTTGTTGCAATCGAAACGTCGTGATCTATTATTTATTATTTTCCTATCTACGTGACTTTACCGAAAGAACCTAAGAGTATATACTCTACCGTACATTTACCAAGAGAGACGTGGAATATGATTTTGGCCATTTACGCCGAAATTACGCGCAATATTAGTAATCGACGCAGCGGTAACGTAATCACAGAAAAGTAATTTTATTTTTTAGAAAAAAACATTACACAGTATCAATCTTAACTTTGGAGCTTTCGTGACTGCAGGAATTACTCTTTGGTTCTTTCGGTAAAGTCACGTATAAAGAAAAAATAATAAATTAAATAATAACATACGACGTTTCGATTGTGTTGCAATCGATTGTGTTGCAATCGAAACGTCGTATGTTATTATTTAATTTATTATTTTTTCTTTATACGTGACTTTATCGAAAGAACCAAAGAATAATTACACAGTATACAGATGGGAAGAGAACGCAGAGGCCTAGGAACAGAAGAGTGGTGTGGCTCAGAGGTGGACCAGTCTAATCATTTTACTGATGTGCGACAGTCAGCTTTACATCCAATCGGTGAAGCATTGTGGGTCTCGTCGTGCGGTGGGCAAGGTGCGGTGGCACTCTGGGACGGTACGGTGGGCGCGGCGGGGACCACAAACCTGAGGGGAGGCTGATGCGGTTGCCGTCCTTGCTGAGCTTGAGCCGCGCGCGCGCAAAGTGCCCCTTGCGCTTCTTGACGCACGGCTTGTCCTGGTAGATGTGGTGGATGAGAATGTGCAGCTCTCGCTCCAGCACGTCGATCTCGCGGTCGGCCAGCTCCTGCTCGCGCCTCTTGAGCAGCTCCTCCTGCGACTTCTGCTGCAGCGACGCGCGCATCAGCTCCTCCTCCCGCGTGCGCAGCTCCTGCGCGCAGCGATCAGCGACAGAGGAGGGGTGGTGGGGGGGAGCGCGCCTCCGTTGAGGTGAAACTTTTTCAAGTCGCAAATGTACTTTTCTCAACGGAGAAGAACAATAAGCATGCGCACGCAAAGATTCTGCAACACTTTCCAACGGGCGTTTGTCCTCGGGTATAACAGTGTTTTGGGCCGCACGACGAGATGATGTCGCGAGACGACGTCACAAGTGATTACGTCACTGGGAGGGGGGAGGGGATGCGTGCGTTTTAATTTTATCGCTGGTTTTGCATTTCCTTTTAACACCGGCTGTCGTCTCCAGATTTTGGGCTAACGCTTTGATCAAAACGAACTCGACGGATTCGTCAAGAACCACCAACGTGGACAAATGCGTTTTTGTTATTTGTTCTTGTGCACCACCGCAAAACGCAGCATCACCAAATTCTTTGTTTAGATTTTTCATCAATTGGCAGGCGTTCTCCAGGGTAAGTCCCTTCTCTTTTCGTACGGCTGATGTAGATGCAGGGCAACGATTACAATTTTACATTTAGGTGGTCAAACCAGATAACTGCGTCAGTAGCAGCGGAGTGTGTCGCCGTGACGTCTCCTTCGTATCTGTGGATCGGGCATTGCGTCGTTATACGTTGCACGGTCTTGTTCTGCAATGGCCAAGCACTGGAGAGTTTTTTTTATTTTCCATCTGTGCGTCAGGTGTGTGCGCAGCATCTGCCACAGTTTGTGCGTCAACGTGGACGGCTGGCTGGCAGCCAGTGGCGGTGGGCGCCCCACGGCGTACCTTCTCCTTCGCGCGCAGCTCGTCAAACATGTGCTGGATCTCCAGCTTCCAGTCGTCCTGCAGGGAGTGGAAGGACTCCTGCGGGATGTGGAAGATGCCCGACTCCTGCACGGCCACCAGCTCGTCGAGGATGCGTGAGAACGGGGGCCGCGAGTGCGGATCGGGGTCCCAGCACTCTGCGTTCGCATCGCGGGGAGGATGGGCGAAGCACTTATTATTATTTCGTGGGCGGGAACGATGATGCATCGACTTGCACAATAAAATTATAAATATCGATTATTAAGTTCACGATATACATGCAGTTACATGGATGGGACCATAAATATAACAGTTATACCCGAGCTATGAATGCTTTATTGTTTGCATTGCCTTTGATGCTTCATAATCAACGTTTTTGGGTTTAGATCGCGTTATTCATAAATGTGTCGTAACCCTCCACCACCCGACACGGCCAATCAGCAAAAAAAGCGTCACGTTGACAAAAGACAAATTCGTTCACTGCTTTAGCCCACCGGTGTGTTGAAGCGTGAAACCACAACATTTACAATTAGAGTTGTACGACGTTTCGCTGGTAATTGCATCCAGCATCATCGGGCAATTCACCAGAATGGTGAGGCTCTGCTCTGTCTCCCGTTCTTATATAGAGCAGTAGCAGGGTGACGTCATCATTAACTCATTGATGCTTGTTTGCCTTTTGGTGTTCGCTGGTCTGGTACTGCTGAGACAGGGCCAAATCAGTTTCAAAGTCCAATGCATACATTATCAAAGGAAGTTCGTGTGAATGCTTTACGACAAGCACGCACGTGTGGTTAAAGCAGACTTTTGATGCCTTGCAACACGTGTCTATTTGGTATCTGAACATCTCAACTCCTGTATTATTTCGAGAAAGGTTAAAGCCTTTTCTTTTTTCATACACAGTGGAGTGAAGTGTGGTTAAATAACCTCCATGACCTGCACGGCAGTGGTGGAAATGGAAATATAGAGTCCTGGTTATAAATTTTATTCACCCTGCAGCCTGCGTTAACTCCAGTCTCCCCTCTGCGGAAACATCATCATTCTGTATTGGAATCGGAAGCGGTCTGAAAACCGCCGGGAAACGTGTTTGGCCTACTGAGAATTGCCGGTAATATATACAGTTGTATATCGGCTCGTTGCGACCACTGCATGTCAATGTAGTTGTGTTGCAGGCAATTGGCTCACATCACCACCCCTGCAGTCACTCGAGGTGCTACCATTTGTCGCAAATTATCGGGCCTCCGCACTCCGTCCCCCTCTCTCACGCTCGGGCAACTTGTTTTGCATTTGACACGTTTCTCCAGCGGGCAGCCTAGGCGCGAGGCAGCGGCGCGGATCGCTCAACCCGGGTGGCGATCCGCGCTCCTCGCAACCCTTACCTCGACAGCCGCCGCTGGGACAGCACGGTCACACACACCTAAGCCAGAGGTTGCAACCGGGTACCCTATACCCGTACCTTACCCGATACCCGTACCCTACCCGATACCCGGCTACCCGTACCCGTTTGCGACCCTGGTGTGGCCGGGTACGGGTAGGCCGTGAGTCACTGGCGAGTAACCGTTTGTCACTCATTTCCCAACGTCTTGTCTCTTCTCACAATTCGAGTTCCTAGAATCAACCCGACCGCGCCTGCAACATGGCTTCATCCCAGAGGTCGCAATCGGGTACCCGTACCCTACCCGATACCCGGCCGGGTACAGGTAGCCGGGTATCGGGTAGGGTACGGGTACCCGTTTGCGACCCTGGTGCGTACGGGTACGGGTAAGGAATCAAAACCCGTTTGCGACCTCTGACCTAAGCCCACCGAGGCTGCGTCTGCTCTACTAGCTCGTGGCTTTCGCCACTGGAATTACCTGCGGGACGTTTGGACATCTCGTCACCGTGGCGCCCACTTGTGCCTCACCATATCCTGGACCCGAGTTCAACGTGAGCGCAGGAGCCACTCGCATTTTAATACCCCCCCCCCCCCCCCCCCACCACCGGGGCACCTCGCGGAGAAAATAATATCTACAGCAGCAAGCCTTCCCTTCTACCTGCTGTGCTCTGTACACACAGCCATTCGGCCACCATCTGCAGGGTCCGCATACGTCCAACAGGGGGCAGCATAGGCTCACGCATCCACACGCAGGGACTTCCCCCAAAGTGACGTAGGGGATTGTTTTTCATCTCTATAAAGACCTGAATCTGTAAGTCTCAAAAACCTCTAGGGGACTTTCCCGACAAGGTAGAAAGCAGAAATTTGGTACATAATGTAGCTTTTAGGACACACGCAACAGGGAAAATCCGAGAATTGTCATTTTAAGGCCCCCAGATATCGATTTTAAGTGCCCTATTAAGTCATTCAGAAACCGTTCAAAATATAAGATTGAGAGATTTTCCCTTTCGTAGAGCGTTAAACAGCAAATAAAATTTAAGCGAGAACCATTGGTTCTATCTTTTATTGTTTTTTAGATATTTTGGATTAACGCGGTTTTGAACGAAAAAATACGCATTTGAATGATGTTCAAATCCGAATTCGAAAACGAGTATTAAGATAATTAATTTATGTTCTTTCTAATAAAAAAGAACGGAATATTTAAATTGAGCGGTTTCTCATGGGTACGTCTTTAAATATAAGCTAAATCAAGTCGTTAACAACAAAATAACATTTTTTGGAGTAGTTTTGTTAGTGTCTGATTTAGATTAAAACAATCATATCAGGCTAATTATTATTATACATTGAAAACTTTTGCCTGGTGAAGACGGGCTTCATGAACTCGTAATAAATAAGTAGACAATTCACCTACTTCCCATATTTGTCTGACCACGTAAAACATAAAAGCACCTTTTTTTGTCATAAACCCCCTCGGCCAAACGACCTTCTCAGAGGGATTTTTCCAGTGTCAGTAACTGCTGCTGCCGCTACTGCTACAGAAATACGTTGTTTACAATGAGGCTGCGCTTCACATTAAATAGCGTAAAGGATAAAAAATATTTCTGTTTCCTACTGACCTGGAAGTGCCTGGAGTTGGTTGTGGGCGAGAATAATTTCATAACGTCAACTAAAACATAATTACTGGAATAAGAGTTTGGAGAGAGTGCCTGGGAGGCGATGCCACGTTTGTGTGGGCAAAGCAGCCTGTTTGGACAGTGGCAAAAGCATGGCTGGCATGGACCCCCGGTGGAGGGAATGAAATGGGGTTACCGGGCTCAGTTTCTCCCCCTCTTCGTAGCACCGTGCCGAAGCCTTTCATCAGGCCCGTGGGCCTCAGTGCAATTGCACGGCCTGCACACTCAATAGCTACGGCAATGTGTTCCGACACCACGCCACACCACGGGGTTGACGAGTCAGGAAGTTTCATGGAGAAAAAACACATTTCTCAATTGATCGGGAGGTCTTGCCACACTGCCAGTCACAGGATACACATTTGGCCTTTGGAATGTTATTGAATCGGCCAATGGGCTGATGGCTTAAAAAAAATCGGTGGTCTTGGTACATGCCATGCAAGCGGACTGCGCAATGTCAAATTCAGATAATACGATAGCGTTTCACACGGCGGCGCAGCTCAAGAGCCAAACACCAACAGTGGTCGGTGTGATCGCTGCGCCGAGATGAACATGTTTTGGACTTGTTGTTTTTCGATCGCAGCAAATATAGAAGCAGTCCCATCACAAGCGCGTAGCAGAGTCAACAGAGTTCGAGAATAATAAAATGAGCGGCGGATCGTTTACGATCCACAGCGATTCTCCTGGCAAACATCAAGTTTCAACTTGTGCGGATGTGATACGTGAGGTGCAGTATCCCACAACTACTCTTAAGGGCAGACACAACCCAAACAACACAGGTCTTGTGTTTCCATCCCTGCGTTTCAAGCTCTGGGTACGAGCTGTATGCTTTGGTCCGTCTCAAATGAGGTTTTAATTTGGTTAATGACAAAAAGTGATGTATTCTTCAAATGCCTTTAAGGACCGTGATCTCTCTCTCCCTCGCTTGTTCGTCCACTGGTAAGAGATCTCATAGTGTAAATGCTTACCCCGAGCTCTCAATACTCTGATATTGCACTGTGTTTGAGTTGTACGCCTTCTGGTGTCATCTGGTCCAACACCAATGGGGACTAGGCTCTAAAGAAAGCCGTCTCGGGTGTGGACCAATCAACTTCAAGGACAGTGCATATCATTATCATTATCAGAGTTGCTTCTTTTTGTTTGCTTTTTTGACTACTTGTGTTGTGGTTATTGCAAACATGATGCCTTGAATAAAGGTGTCAGTTTTGTACCAGTTTAAAAGGGTAAAAACCTACTACTATATTTTGCCACTGGTAAAAGAGATCTCACAGTGTTCGTACATCAAGTTGATGATGACCATGGCACGTTGGTCATTTTGTTGGGTTTTGATGAGTGCGCAGATGGCTGAACAGGCCAATCCAAGCCCGGAATTGTCTGTGGCACACCAAGATAGCGCAGGAGCTTCTCCTACTCTCACAGAAGACTGCTCCGTGCTGTACTTTTCTTCTCCAGGCAGGTCGGTCCTGTGCTCGGGGTTTCCCTGCTTTTCAGGTCGAATCCAAAGCTCTTCAAGGAAGCTTTAAGGAGCGCAATCACTGCAGTGGTGTATCAACATTCTGAAATGTCCTCATTGACAATGAAACTTACACCGCAGTGACATGACGAGTGTTTACGGCTCTAACGACGTCACAGGCTAATATGATTTTTCTCTCGTTACACGGAACAACACTGCTTCTCTTTCACTTTTAAAGCCATTCCTTCCCAATGAGTATTTATCGGGAGGCGATATTCGCCGCGTGGACACGATGAATGTACCGTAATTGCTTTCGAACCACAGCGTGCATCAGCTTACGACTGCTCCCTCTCCCTTCTGCGATGATATGGGCCCAGTGAAGTTCTTCAACTTGTGTGTGTCCTGCACAGAGTGCCTTGCACTGCTCACATCTAAACATCTCCGTTTCACGTCCCTCTCCGGTGCCCATCTGGTGCACAATCACTCTTTCTCTACTTCTTGTTCCTTCTTTTCGAGACTAGTAGGCTTCCGAAACGTACGTAAGTCGTCAAGTTAGTCATCTCTGCCGATGAGACGCTGCATGTCAAAACCAGTCCAGAGTTTCCCTGCATAGAATCAATGCTATTGGAATTACGCACTCCCAGAAGGCCGTGTGGCTGGCGGGTTGTGTAAGAACTATTTTTTTTATGTGAAGAGATGGATAGATGAAGGAGACGCATTATCCGTCGATGTATTTCGTTCCTAAATTCAAGTTCCGTCAACACTTTGTATATTGCTTCATTTGCACTTTGTTACACGTTCACATAATTTGCTTGGTTACCGAATATATATATGCGATTCTTTTCAACACTCATTTACACGTGTATTGCATCACTCCTGTCAACCAGCTCTCCCTTGAAAAAGAGACTTTAGCCTCAACCGGCTCTCGTCTGTTCAAGTAACGACCACTCGTAAATAGAGATAAAGACTCGTGAGCGGCACGAGGAAGGTGCAGTAACAACAAATGCTTTTTTTGTTTTGCCGGTCGCGTCTCCCTTTAACGACGACGGGCAAACGAAGGATCATCGAGCAAGGCGGCAGAGCGGGGCAGGGAGCCGCTCACCTGTCATGAGCTTGGAGAAGGGCTCCGGGCAGGTGGAAGGGATGGGCAGGGTGAGCTTGTTGACGGCGACGCCGTACGCCACGGCCAGCCCGTCGATGCCGCGGTACGGCACCTCGCCCGTCAGCAGCTCCCACAGCAGCACGCCGTAGCTGCAGAGGGGGGGAGGGGGGGGGGCACGCGGTGGGCAAACGCGCGAGGGGGGGACGTGTGAGCATTTCGGTCGGGCCTTGTCCGGCTCGGCGACCTATAAAATATATTTCTGCACGTGGCACACCGAATCCAGCACACATCTCACTGTGGCTACCAGTCACGTGCCACTGCCCGGTCTACCAGCGACTCAATGAGAAGTTAAGTCCTGGTGATTCACCACGTCGGGTGGACGGACGGAGATGCGTGTTGGGGGGGAAGGGCCGCTCGCACATAGGGCGGTGCTGCTCGTGCAGGAATACGTTGAACTTTTGTCTGGTTAGGGACCAGAGCATGGACGAATGTCAAGCAGAGCTTTTATTTAGTTTGCAAATTGATTTTGGCCGGCGAAAAACGAACATGCAAATAACTAGAGTAAATATAAAAACGCCGAGCATGCGACTTATATCAGCATGCCTTGCTAATTAAGTTTGATCATGTCAAGCTCTTCTTGCAAATTTAGAACCTTATGGGTTATTTGAGCTTTTCTATCACCACACTTAGTTCCCATTATGAATATATTAGAGGACAAAAATAAGTATTTTACAGTAATCACAAAAATAAGCACAGTATGAATACTGTACACGTGTTTTATAATCGTGAAAATAACTATGAACACTGTAGGATTATACTATTATCATAAAAAGAACGATGAATTGTTTACAGCATAATCACAGAAATAAGTACAGTATTAATAATAGAGGAATAAACACAAATATGAGAGATGCTCACTGAACGACTTCTATTCAAAGACTCAACAAAAAAGACGGTGCGTGGCACGAACGTCACGGAAGGTTTTGGATGAAATTGGACGAAAGAGGAAAGCCGCGTGGACGAAATTTGAAATGTGGTTACAAGTGAAAACGGCCGAAAGAGCGAAGCGACGAAAGTCAAGTGGACGAAAGTCAAGGTAACGCTGTATTAGATACGATACATTTACTGACGCAACAATTCCACCCCACACGCAACCCAGCCTGATTCAGGACCGCACATCCACTCGTGAATCAATTGCCTGTACTGTTTGTCGTTTCATTCACACCGTCTCATTTGTTTCATAATGCCAAACGTGACACCGACATATATTCAGCACGAGTCCTAAATAATAAATTCTTAGATGCACAATTTAATACGTGTATCAAATCATGACAATCAGTAAAGCTACATGCCCCGTTCCATCCCTACTTTGTACAATGCTGAAAACTCGATGGCATGGAAGGCGGTGTATAGGTCAGAGCAATGAGCTGGCATCGCCGAGATCCTGGGTTAAAATCCAAGAATCTGCCCAAAAATGTGTGCGAGTGCTTAATTTGCCAAAATTCTAGCTCTGAGAATTACAAACATCAGTTTGACTATCATGCGATGAGCAATGCTCTCTGCAACAGGCCAAGTGGGATAGTGTTGCCCACTACTATCTATCTGGTCCACTACTGTGTGAACCAGATTGGGCGACACTGCTCTATGAGAGGAACTGAAACGACACGAATAGAACACCATGGAATCTATTTTGGAAAAAAAAAGTTAAAAAACCCAAAAGCACGGTGAAGCAGCACATGCGTTCTCACAGCATCCTAGGCACCATTGGAACCTCATTTGCCAGTAAAAAATATAATTGGTTTTTTACCCTTCTATCTGGCAACAAAACTGACACCTTTTTTACAAGGAGTCATTATCAGAGTTATGTTTTTTGTTTGCATTATGGATGCAGGTATTGTGGTCTATGCAAACATGACTCCTTGTAAAAAAGGTGTCAGTTTTGTTGCCAGATAGAAGGGTAAAAAAACAATTATCAGCATCCTAGGCAGTTATCTTGAGGCTCAGTTAATCACATCGGCAGTCACCAACATGGGTAGCGGATTGGTCAGTAGGTCAGTGTCCAACCCCAATCCCCAAAGTGTGCCGTCTGCTGCAAATGAGGAATTACGTGACCATACCATCATTCACACGGGAAAGCCACAGAGTTGCTTGTGTCATGGTGCATATTCCAAACTGACCACAGCTAATTACGAAATTCGCAGTGTTCAAGATCAGCGGTTTGTGCCTGCCGACCACTGCTAGAAGTAGCCATGACGGAAGCACTTTATCAAGCTGCCCATAAGAATGCAAGCAATAGAGTCAAATAAAGAGACAACGCGACGCATACACATCTTGGCGACACAGCCGAAAACACACCGGAGCCTTGGAATTTGACCCCGTCGATGTTTACGGGCGATATTGGGACGCATCTTAAAAAAATCGTACGAACACGAACGCTCGCCGAGGCACGACTCGGGACGACGCGACGCGCCTCACCTCCAGACGTCGCTGCCCTTGGAAAAGGTGGACGACTTGATGACCTCGGGCGCCATCCAAGCGTAGGTTCCGGCCGCGCTCATCATCGTCGTCTTGTACCACTCGCGGGCCAGCCCAAAGTCGGTGATCTTCAGCGTCTTGGCCTCCAGGTCGTCGTTCTCCACGCGCTCCTGCAGCAGGACTTTCACGACGGACAGAGACAGCGCGTCCCCCCGTGAGCACGTGCACAACGGTGGCCCCCGCCGCGAGCGGCAGCCGGAAATGTTTAAGATCGGGCAGACGGGTGGCGACGCGTCGATTCCAAGATTTCACTCGATTCTGACACTCGTGACACGGCAAACTCTCGATTATCCGTGGGTTGCATATCCGGGTTTGCGGTTTAACCGTCATTGCGAACAAATAAATAACATCTATTTCTTAGGTGAATGCTGGTTGCAATGTTTAGCTGCTCTTCACAAACAAGTCAACAAGAAGTTATAAAAACAGACGACATAATTTAGACATCCAACCACATTCTACGTGGGTAAACAATTCACGTTTTTCGCCTCTAATTTACACACGTTTTGCTATTTTGCATTTACCGTGCATTCTTGCGTTATATGAGTCACCCACCTCAACGTTGCCCAGGGTAGCCGAGAGTTTACTGTGCATCGCATGAGTTTGCATGTGTGTGAGACTCGGGCTGTATTGTCATGTTTACACGTAGGCTAACGGGGCAAATGAAACTGTAGAGAGAAAAAAAACAAGACGGATACAAAAAAAACGAGGAATAACGCCAACGAGATGATAAATACGAGACATAAAAAAACTGGAAATTATTTCATTGCATCGTGCACCTGAATCAAGACAATTCGTTGTATTGCTGGGGGGATAATTGCTACACGCTTGCCACTATGTTGACCGTAAAAATTAATTCTGTCCATTTTTTAAGGTTTTGTATTAAATGTTTTTGGCGTTCTATACAAGTTGTTTTCCCAGGTCTCCCTTGAAAAAAGGAATTTATCTCTGGGCTTGTACGTGTGTAAAGAAAGCCACTTATTTCATAACGCAGGTCTTGTCTAAATACATTAGCTGTACCTATTGTACATGCAGATTGGGAGTAGTGATGGTGCAGTGTGGTTAGCACACGGCCTCGTGAAACCCAGCCGCTCTGACTTTGAATCTGGGCCTACGATGGACATCAGTGGTGAGTGGTTATCTGAATCAGCCCTCAGGAACCCCCCCCCCCCCCACCTTGCAACCATCGCCAAACCGCACTCACCAGCGCGGAGAAGCATGGTCAATGCGTATTGACGAGAGCACTGTGTATTGTTAGTATTATGACGACGTGTGTACCGATGTTCGCGGTTACCACATTGAAAAGTAAGCTATGGTATTTTAGCGTTTGGTGATTATGTTTTGTAGTCAAGCTGTATGGAATACACACACACACTGTGCATTGCTTTACTGTTCCATATGCTCAAACCTCATTACCGCCTCCCTTACCCAAAAGTAAACATACACGTGCTTTATAAAACCAGATAAGGGTTAGGTTACTAAGAATAACAACACAAGTGTGTTCACGGTAAAGCCTGAGCAGCATTTTCAAGTAACCTGGGGAATTAATCTGCAAGTTGGGGGCGACAATTGCAATGTTTCATTGGCAAATTTGGACGCCGATGCAGGCAATGGCTACTCTACTTCACGTCTGCTGTTCAGAAGACATGAAGTAGCCTCATTATGGTAATTACACCCACAGTATTAAACAGGGCGGTTGCTGGATTCGAACCGTGAACCTCTGCAACTCGCGGCGAACGTGCTGCTGCTGGGCCAAGTCACGTGCCCAGTCACGTGCCCGACTTCAAATAACTGGCGCTGCACGATCAGTAGCATGTACACACATCAACGTGCCGTACATTGCCAGGTGATTAATTTCGTTAACTCATTAAGGCTTTTACTTGAACTATTGTCGATCATTTATGGCGACATTTCATTTGTTTACATTTGTGTAGGCTGCGAATTCTGACAAACTCGGCGTGGTCAACACCTTCAGCCACGTGCACAACAACTCACAACCTGGTCCCAACACACAAAGACAAAGATCCCCGTATAGTCTTAACAGACTACTGGGGGCAAGTCCTCTTATAGCGAGCATCTATGAAGGCCAGAACGGGACACAAGTTGGTGGGTGGCCAGCACAACGCCCAGCAATTGTTACACATCGCACCAGGTACTCATTTGAGGCTGAGTCGACCTAGGGGAGGCCCAGGACCGGTTCAGATAATCGTCACCGGTGTTGGCAGTGAGCAGGAATTGAACCCGGGTCGCCAGGTTCGTAGCGCAGCGCGCTAACCGCTACACTACCGCTCCCCACAACCTAGTCCCAACACACATACACACACACATACCCAAAAGGCACCTGTGTTTATACACGCACACAACAAAACAGAAGCCTTGTGCAAACGCACCTGCCCTTGCGCGCACAAACACACTCTTAAGTGCAAACGCACACAAATTTGCTCACACTTTCTGCAGGAGCATGCTCATATCCACGCCGAGACCATTTACACCAACAGGTGTAACATCATGAATACTCTGTTGAAACTTTTCTCTGTGTAATGTCCTCCGGCTGTCACAGCGAGAAAAGGCCCTCAAAGTGCTGTTTAAAAAAAAAACAACAGGCGATGGTGAAAATGTTTGGGCTTTTTTTTTGCCGTTTACATTTTTTAGCAAAAAAAAAACTTCACCACTAAAACAGTGACGTAAAAACGTATCAACGCGAACGTGAACACCAGAGATTAGTGTGAAACACGGTGAATGAAGATTCTTGGAGCCCAACGCTCCGTTCAAAGCTGCTGAAAATGGAGTTTCTGACAGTGATTGTGCGCCCTTTTCATGCAACCCTGTTGTCTTCCACTCCAATAAAAGCACATCCATCTGCAGTTTTACAGCCGGCAGACGCATACCACGCATAGCACGCATAGCAGGCACACAAGGGCACTCCACCGCAAGCCACCAACGCCACTCGCTTCACATCCCCGTGCTCTGTCGATGCCTTGAAGCTAGGATTTTAAATCAGTTCCAATTCCTCTCCTTCGGTCTCGCTTATGAGTTAAGCACGAGTGGTAGCCACCAACACCGCCGACGAGGCTGCGTGCTCTTAACGCGCAATATTTATGCCACCAAAAAGTGTACGTTAACCGCTTTTATCTCTGGGATTTGTGCGCTGGTATACAGGGGAAGTGTTATGCTTCAGACGAAGTGACCCTCTTCGCAGTGTTTATTGACTGGTTATGACTTACAAGGATTCCATTCGAGTTTTTTTTTAGTTTAAAGAATACATTCACAGATCCTTTCTGAGAGGAGGTCCTCGAAAAACGTGCAGACTCACAGTCACGATGCGCGACGGAAAATTTCCGAACACAAATTCGTCGCAACATTTTTCGATTTAAAGCTTTCGTGACTGCAGGGATTCATCTTCTTGGTTCTTTCGGTAAAGTCACGTAGAAGGGAAATAATAAAATAATAAAAATAAAACATAAACGTCACAACATGACTCTGTCGGATGTATTTGAACACAGGTGCTTTGTGATAAAAACGTGCAGAATGAATGGGCGCGGAGTTTGCCTTCGTCGCGACCACGCGCGCCACCGTCATCCTGCGTCTCGTGACACCACCCCGTAGCCGCTGACGGGGACCCGGTGCTTCGGAACGATGTCACGCTCACAAACAACAGTGACCCGCGACTCTCAGCCAATCACGGCACGGCCGGCGTCCATCCCACGTAAGAATTATTGGGCTCCAAGCGGCAGCTACCTAAGTGGCTGAATGTCTCTCATCTTGGCAAGGAAGAACTTGGCAAGAGCTTTCACTGCTAGGATTTATAGATTTGTATTTATTAAGTTTATCGCCCTTACACGTTGTGGGAACATTGCTTATGTTGGTATAAATTAAATCTAATCGTTCATCTAGTGGTCTTTGGCCAGAGTACAGCCTGGGCAGCCTGGGCAGCCTGGGCAGTTGGACTCCAAAAACCCATAATTTATTCTATGCACTTAATCTTCTAACAATCTGGTACCATTATTTTTAATTTCACTCAACTGTTTGTCTTACATTCACAATTTCTAAAACGACGTATTACTCTGGTGCGCAATATTAATCGGTTACATCTGCTGAATTCGTAAAAGTAATGTGGAGCTTGTGTATCCGTGCTGCAATCTGGCCAGGACACCCTTGGAAATAAGATTTGCATTTGGAGGGATTATCCGAGCCAAGTGAATAACATTATTACGTTCACAGCGCGAGCTAAAAATCTCGGAGAGAATCAAATTAACCGAATCGTCCGACCGGTTCCGAGAATATGAGTACAACGCAGCAAGGGGGGGGGGGGGGTGTGCTTAGTGGGGAAGTTAGAACAGCAACTGTCTTCTGAAAGTCCTTAAAAAGCATGACCATTGTGTAACAATGCTACAACAACAAAATACCATACATCTAGCCACAGGCCACGTGGCATGAAGCCTAAAAATATCTGCAGATGGACATATAACATTTCCTAAACTTTGCACAAAGGCAGCTAAGATACGGAAACCAGCGTCTGTGACCGAAGGCGTCAATGAGACGCCCATTGTCAGACGATGCGGCCACGTGTCAGTTAGCAAGTCAATTACAGACACAGTAAGCGGCCACCCAAATAAACACGGATCGCAGCCATGACGACCGCCTCGCTCATTCATGGGCCACAAACAGGATACTGCTCCCTTACACTGCCGCCTCTGTTGATGTACCTGAAGAGTCAACATCGCAGGTTCGGGCTCTGCACACACTCAGCTACGGTCTTCAAATTCACGAGCATTAAAGCCGGTGACAAGGTTTGTGAAAATGGACAGGATTTCCCGTCAAGATCAACTGACAGTCTCGTGGAGCCCGGCTCCATGAAGGCATCGCGCTGATCGCCAAGTGCACAGTCTGCCGTTACCAGTCGACAAATCTGTAAAAGACAGCGAGTCGCACGGGCCAGGATGCGCCAAATATGCCACAGATCCTGCAAAAAAAGTGACACTGCACGTGGGGCCGTGGTCACAAGAGCTGTGCGCCAACAGCCAACATGACCAGCCCTCGCTATCCTCCTCTGCAAGGTGGAGCTTTGTTGATGCATGAACAACTGCGTGTGTTTGTTGTGGCAAATAAATGAGGGTGTTGGGA